CCGGTGCCGCCGTTCGATGGCTTGAGGGTTCGTTAGCAATTAGCACGGTTGCCACAGGCTGGATTTGTGTTAAACCCAATGACTCTGTGCAAAGCCCACAACGCAGCATCCTCTGCAGTGCTGGGGATGAGGAAAGGCCACGGATCTGGAAGACACCCTGGGGGGGGGCATGCAGCCCTGGGGACCCCCGAACACCCCAGACACCGCAGCAATTAGCATCAGGATCACGTACTTATTCTCGTTGCTGGCGTCGTAGCGCGGAGTTGGGTCGTGGTCGTTGCCGTTGACATCATAGCTTGCAAGAGGGTCCTGAAAACATATTGCCACCATTAGATTTGACATACTGGCACAGCAGGGGACAAAGTGGCCTCAGCAGTGGTGTGGTCCTGCTTTGACCACAGCCAGCTGGGCCAAAACACCATTTTCCACTTATTTTCTGACTATTTGCTCAAGAGAAAGAGTTTTGGGCAGCAGCCCCTGCTGCGAGATGGCTGCCCAGGGGGAAACATCCTGCTCCCACTGGAGTCCGGTCCTTCAAGCTCCGAATCCTGCTGGGTCCGGCACTGTCCGCAGCGCCGCCGCGGCCGTTCGGGGTTTGAGCTGGGGCTGAGCGAGTCCGCACAAGTTTTTGGCTCTGCCCTGGTGAGCTGGAGGGAGGTGGCCGCTTCCCAGGCAGCTGCAAAGGGAGTTTCCCCCAAACCCTCTTGCCTAAAAACCTCATTTCCTTCTTAAAAACATCTTGAGCTTTTTAAAATAAACCTTTTCCTCTGATTTGCCCATACACAGACTTGAAATACGTTTATACACTGAAATTCTCCGTAAATCCATTCACCGTGAGGACCCGTCCCAGCCCATCCATCCCCCAGCTCACGTAGTTCTGCAGGAGGTCGGGGTGGTTCCTCTCTATGCCGTCATCGAGGATGGTGACCACCACGTTCTTGCCAGTGTAGCCCCTCTGCCAGGCTGCCAGGACATTCATCTCCGACCTGCAGCGACTGCTTTTATCGCTGCAGTGCTACAGGGGGGGAAAAGACAGCTGTGAAAGGGCTCCAGCCCCATTTCAACCCATCTAAGCGAGCAGCTGGACTGGGAGCGCATTTAATCAACCAGAAAATAGTTTACATCCCACACCCTGCCACATAACTCGTAGATTTGTTAGAATTTTACTCTATCGATCAAAGCCACCCAGTAGCAGTTACTCCAGGCGACGCTATCTCCCTATTATTTTTTTCCCCTCTTCCATTTCAAATACTGCGGGCTCTTCAGTTTTGAAGCACTCGTTTCCTTTCCGTGCTTAATTTTCAATTAATTTTCCTGTCAAACACAGATCGATGAAGCAGGTGGGAGAAAACCAATATGGTAAATACTCAGTTGCAGCTCTTGGATGGGTAAAAACTCATCGGTGCCGCAGCCGTGCTGCTCCCAAGATCGGAACGAGGAGCTGCCAACGACGGTGAAACACTTAAAACTCGACTCTCTCACCTATTAATTTACAATTTTTAAATCCTGCTGCCAAGCACATTTGCTGATATTAAGGTGTTTCATTACCGGCCAGGCTGAGGAATGATTTGACGACGCGTTTGATTCAAAATAAATGAGCCCCCCCGCAAAGCAGCGGGTTCCTCGGGGGCGGCGGAGGGGAGATACCCACCAGGTACCACATGTTGGGCCACACCGGGTCATTG